GGGGTTGTTGGGTCCCAAGTAATGGGTCTTCGATCCTCTATTAGTGCATCCCTGTTCTGTCCTGGCAATGGTTTGTGGAAGCAATCCAATGGTCTGAGTTGTCACTGTTTTTCTTGGGCTACCTGGTTCTTCCACATCAATTTCCCATCTTTCAGCATATCAGCCATCTTCCGATGGGGGTCAAGCCATAGGTCCCTGAACCCTAAGATAGCTTGCTGCTTCCCCTTCCGGTCTGCTATTAGAGTCAGATTTGCGGCAAGCTTCCCGTTGGCCTTAACTATGTTCACCCATATAACTTCCACGATCTCTGCTTTAGCCTTAGGAAGGCCAAAGGTGAATTCTTTTTGTTCCTCCGAACATCTCATCCTCCAGACGACCATAAGTACCCTTTCTTTACAGTGAACTGCTAAATCGGGATGGGTTTGTGGCCCGACCGTTCCCGGTCTTCTGGGCCAAAGGGGAGGGCACAAATCAAGGAGGCCATCTCCAAAGCGAAGTATCTGTGTCCTCATTCCCCACTTCTCTGATTCTGGTGAGGCTATCTTTGGGTTACTGGCAGTTGCGATCAGGATTCTTTCTCAACAAGTCCAATTTGCCCCTGGCAAGTCTGGTTACTATTATATCCATACTTGTGGCGCATCATGCCCGTGCATGGTGCGAGTATGCGGCTCATGTGATGCATTGCATCCCCAAAAATAGGGTTATCAAAAAAGGCCCAATGGGGGGGGAAATGAATATAATTTTCAAAGGTCAATGAAGTATCTCGCTAGGCTACCAGCCAGGCCGCCCGGGTCACCCTGTTTTACCGGGCTGCCCGATCGTGCAAGGATCAGGGAAGGTCCCAGCAAATATATATATTGTGACGATATATATATATATATATATATACAGGGTCACCAGCCTGTACGTACGGAGGTCCCCGGACAGACCTCCGTACGTACGGGCGTTCGGGGTCCCGTACGGGGTCCGAACCCGACGGCGTTCGGCCCCCTGTAAATTTTCAAGTCATTTCGCTAAGCCAAATAAGAATTAAAAATCGCCAAAGATGGCGGTGTCAAAACGTGCTCGCCCACGTATTTTTTCACTTTTTACTTTTTATTTTCACTTTAGTTCGGGGTCTAAACAATTTTAATATTTTTTGAAACTTTTTTAGTGGGTTTTGTATTATGTGAAGTACACATCTGTAAATTATCAGGGCATTAGCTATGCCAAAAAAAAATGAAAAATCGCCAAAGATGGCGGTGTCGAAAACATGCTCGCGCACTCACTAAATTTAACTCTCTTTTTATTTTTATTTATTTTTATTATTAGTATTTGTTTTCCGTATTTTATTTTTATTTCAAATTTGGTAAGGAATTCGGATGTAATGCTCAGCCAAATCGTGTTTAATTTAGTTTTCTCCATAACATATCTTTTTTTCAGATTTTTTTTCAGAATTTTTATTATTATTATTATTATTATTTTATTTTATTTTTTTAGGTCCGCGTTCGGCCCGAACGGCCGAACGCATCCCCAAGGGGTCCCATACATTCGGGCGTTCGGGTTCGGGCGTTCGTCCCGTCCCGAACGCTGGTTACCGTGTATATATATATGTCTGGAGTGTATTTTTTGGCTGTGACAGACCTTTCTTTGTTTTGTGGATGTTTTGCTGGCTTGTGATGGGGTGTGAGCCGACATTCTGGAGAGTTTTCCATCTGGTGTGGCACAACA